ACTTACTCTCCATCTGAGTATACATGTTGGATCAATGGAACTAGAGCTATTAATTATGATGTTCACTTGACCTAAATTAACAGTATACTCTCCATTTGAGTTAGATCTGTTTTAATTATTGGAGTGAATAATCTGGCATTACATACATATGTTACATGAGTAGTTCTTTTCCCATTGAAATTGCTATTCAATATGCATGACATATATGTGTAGTGTGTTTAAAAATTTTGTACTAAAAGGTTATATACAATTGACTGAAAATAATAATATAGTCTCCATCTGAGTTGGTTCTATTTATTTTTGGATTGTATAATTCTTGCATTATATAATATACTTTGCATGAATGATTCTTTTCCCATCGAAATTTATTATTCGAGATGCATGTATGTATATAAATATTGAATGCAGTCTGAATTTTACTATTCAGTGTTTTAACTTATTGTGATCTATGTAATGTTTTTATCTCAACTCTACAATGACTTTATGCAATTTATCGTATTACTTGTTAAAATTTTCTTTTAGTGATAAGACATTAATTTAAATGATTCAATATATGTACTTTTTGTTAGAAGGAATTTAATTCCGGTTTCTGGGCAAAATAAGAGATGGATATTTGTTTTATTTTTTGAATAACTCTTGATTTATTGAACTTGATAAACATTTTATCTCTTGTGGTACATGAATGCATGACCTTGTTATTGTATATTAATGTCTCTCCTGAACAGAACAATATAAGTCTACCTCATAAGAGAATATGTTCTTCAAAATTGAGTAAAACATATCTGTGCACTTTTGTCTAAGTCATATTAATCTGGATAGGATTTCAAGTTGGTCAAGGATGGACCTTAAGGTTCATTGAAAGTAGAGGCACTACCAACTTGTAGATCCTATTTGGAAGGAAATTTGACTAAACGTTGTTTCCCTTCAAAAGGAAATAAAGCTAGTGATAAGCTAGAATGAATCCCTTCTGATTTGTATGGTTAAATGAACATACTCGTAAGAGATAGTTTTGAGTATTTTGTGGCGTTCATAAATGATTACTCAAAATATTAATATATTTATTTGATGCACCGTAAGTCTTAATGAATTAAGTAATTCAAGGTTTTTAAGACTTGAAATGGAGAAACACCAAGGAAATATATTAAGTTACTACAAATTGATTGTGGTGGTGAGCACCTCTCAAAAGACTTCTTTAGTTACATATCAGAATAAGGGATTACATCTCAATTGTCTACACCGTAAACTCCATAATAGAGTGGTGTAGTAGAAAAAAGAAATAAGTCACTTTTGAACATGGATAGATTAATGATGTGTTATTCAGATTTGCGTTATTTATTTTTGGAATATTTCTTGGAAACTGCAAATTGCATTCTGAATTTAGTTCCTTCTAAGTTAGTACATGGGACATTTATAGAACAATGGACTAAATGTAAGCTCAGTATGTGGCATGTTCAGATATAGGATTGTCCCGCATATGTGCTGAAAGGGAAAGCGGATATGTAAGTTGGAACTAAGAATGAATAGGTGCATCTTTATTAAATATCCAAGAAAACGAATGGAGTTTTATTTTATTGTCCTAAAGAAAATAAGGCAATTGTTAAAACAAATGCATTTTTCTAGATAAGGATTGTTTAATAAAACATATTCCTAGAAGTAAATTATTTTTACAGGAATTGGGCAAAGAAATAACTAGATGTTCAAGAACATCAAAACTCACACGTCGGAATTGATGTTCCATTGCATTTAAGTAGTGGGAGAACGTTAATAGACATGATATCCCTTTATCGAGTGGGAGTGATGTTTGAATAGTGAACACTACAGTAAGAAGTCACTAATATTTCAATGTCGTAAGGTAATGAAGGTAATATTAGTAGTACTTCGTCGTAGTGGCAGAATGCTAAAGAAAATCATAGTTCGGTGTACACTCTTGGGATAGTTTCGGTAACATGATCCTTTAAGAGTTTAATACCAAACTAGATAGTTACGACAAAGCACTATTGGACAAATATTGCGTCAGACATAACTTGACAAGATTCTTTAACAAAATCTTATTTTGGTGAAGACTTTTAATAGTCATGTAAAAGAATGCTTGAGAAAGTTGTAGATGCATGGTTATGAGTCTAAGTGGGAGAATGTTGGGGCATATACTATTAAACTATGCATTTGAATATAGTATATTCTAATAATTGTCATGGTTAAAAGTTTAAGTTGGAGATTGTCGGGATATATACATTAACCATGGGTTTGGTTTAGATATAGTATTTATTATAAAATAATTATTTATGCAATTTTAATAAAGTTTTAAATTTAGCATATATTAGCATGTGTCATTTGCTTATATCGTAGATGATTTAGTGTATAGAGTTTAGCTTATACACGAAAAATTAAATCATCGGTTCTTATAAGCATAAAGTTTGAGTTCACAATCTAATGTTGGAATTGGACAAACCATCATGGATGATTGTAGCACAAGATTAAATATAATTTATCTTGATTATGGGAATGGTTTAATTCCAACTTCTTGTGCTAGTACATTTTGTATGTATTGAACGAACCAAGTAGAGATAAATATTTTATACTGACTTAATAAAATAAACTCTCTAACCATTAAATGTACTTATACTCTTAATCTTGATATAATTATTATTAGCAGTGTACATTATTATTGTTTTGATTTATTAAAAGGCGAGATTCTTTCGTGGGTCAATATGCCTGGTAAATTGGATAATAATAATAATGTACATTGGCAAAGTAATAGTTAGTTGATGGAATTCATGTCTCGGTTTAGAGATTGATGATACACCTTTATGAAAGCTTATAAGTTTTCATGTGTAAACCCGGCCGGTGAATTTTGTATCCGACACATAAAATAAGTTAAGCGAAAGTCTAAAGGAATTAATCAATAAATTAAATCGTCAGTAATTTAATTTAATTGATTAGTATCTGAATCTTAACATGGGGAGTTAAATAAGATTTAATAGATGAATTTCGAAATTGAATAAGGAGTGCAATTATGGATTTTTAGCAGAATAATTCGTAATTAATTATGGTGGATATTAATTTCGAAAATTATAAATTAATTCCATAATTGAAAGCCTTGTTAATTAAATTTTGTGGTCCCTGCTGTGCCTATTTAATAGAAAATACATGAATTCTTTTTCTGGTGGAAAAGAAAACTCAACAGGTTTTGGAAAAGGATTTTAACCCTTAAAACTTGTGCTATAAATAAATATGGTTTTCCACTTAGAGGGAGGACAGAGAGTGGCCGAATTTTTCAGTCTTTTTCTTAGAAAATTTCGCCCACACGAAATTACTATTTCCGGGTATTATTTGGATAAAACAGTAGAAGACCGTGGAACGTTTGAAGATCACGATTGTGCGAGTGATGTAGATTCCATTGAGAAGTTATGGAACTGACGACTCACGTGATAGAAGAGATATATTTACGCTGCAAGAGGTAACTCGTGAAATCTCGTTTATACTAGTTGTCTAGATTACATGTGATTTTGATACTGTGATTGCTTCCACTGCTTATTATAATCCATCAATACCATATAAGCCTCATTTTCTGCATCTTAAAATAGGTTCATTGAATATTTTGTCGAACTGTTTCAAAAAAATACTTATGTGATAACGGGTGTTCTTCTGAAATATTCGATATTTTAAATATCTCATTGATTAGTACTCAATAACTTAACTAGATAAGTTATTTGAAGAAAAAATACATAATATATGATCATATATTTTTCTAAAAACTCAAATATCTTGGAACAAAATCATTTTGCCATAAGGACTAACATTTGAGACAAGTTGTAGTATTAAAAATTTATAAAAAAGTTTCTCTTTTTCAATAATTTTATACGTCTACTAAGCTAGGATTACGAATTTGGGACTTTGTAATCACGGCACTAAAAAGGATTGAATTTTTTCCCTAGAGCTAGTTTGTCGCTGTTTTTCTGCCTTTGCCGGCAGTTGGAAGTGTTTTAAGTTCCAGTCGTTTGGGATCCTAACTCCAGTAATGGTCTCTTTTTTTACGTATCTTAATTATCTTATCGCCGTGTTGATGTCTAAAGTCAAAAGTTATGTATCCCTTTTCCCAAACAGGAATTTCTTGAGGAAATGTCATGTAGGATTTCTACAATTCAAACTCCATAATGGAGTTACTTTACAAGCCTAGAAGTTGCACACACTGTAATTGGGGGAAGGTCACCTATCGTTTTCTCTGTGTCCCGTCCAGTTCCCCTTTTCATATTGGACAAAAGTTACCCCTTCAACGCAATTGTAGTAATGCCGTTTGAGAGAAAGCTATAGTAATTTAGCTAACATTCACAAAAAGAATGTATTGTTTGAGTTACACCTCAAAATATTGTTAGTCATGATCTTAGGTACTGTTATCTCACACCTCAAAATAGTTCATATTTTGGTCTTCAGTATGCTAACATGTTTTAATTTTAAGGAACTAAGGACATAATTACAAACTGCAAAGGTGTAGACAATTTACAGGTGAAATTATTGAATGGGATGTTTGTTTCTTCAAATAAGTTAGTGCATCACAAAAGGTAAAGACCTCATTGCAAAACTAAACGGAAAATGTATTTGCTATGAGCCTGTCTTAGTAGAAATCTATTAAATTCAGGAGCTAGATTTTCAGCCACGTTTTATATTAAACGAATGAAAAAGGAAACAAACAAATAAATAAATGAAGGGGATAGGCATCCACATCTAGATAGCTCACAATAGGCTATTGCTTTGTCTATACAAAACTAGTCTGTAATTCTCATCCATCCGTTCCTTTCAAATAATTCTAATATGATACACTTTGTTTAATCATTAAGTACTTCTTTTGATATTCCGTAGTAAACTTGTTAGCTAATTAATTTTGGTATTTGCAACAGTATATATACACAATTTACAATGTCAGTAAAATGCATTCCATTGGTGAAAAGGGGATTCCCCACCACTACGCACCATCGACCAATACCCCTACTTTTGTTGTTTATATATACAAAAAAACTCCATTTCTTATCTTTCAAAGATTCCTTCCTACACACCCTCAGTTGAGTCATTTCACACAACCACCTACCCTCCTTAATTTCCCCATTCATATTGCCAGGCCCCGTAGCTTCAATTTACAATTCGTTATGGCCTTGGTGTAGTAATTCATAGGTGGTCATCCCTTCTTTCTTCTGCATTTCTTTCTAATTACTCCACCATTTCTCATTATCTCCAATTAGTACTACTTATTATATCCCACCAACCAAGACACCACTATCACCATTGGCTCTTCGTTAATTCTCCAAATTAAGTTGCAAATTTATCAGTAAATTAGTTATACTACTAGAAATATAGTTACCAATTATGAAAATCCTTATGGCCATCTCCAGTGCTTTGATGATTCATAGCGTTATTGTGCTCATCTTCTGTGAAGGTAATGAAGGAATGCTCATACTTTTGCCATGTTTAATTTGTCTGTAACAGACATTTGTTTTATTTGGATTCGTATCACATGTATGGGCACTGAAAACAGGGTTTCACCATTTCTTGGTAAAAATTCATTCTTTATTCAAAGGATTATTAAGAATTTTCACATTTTTATTGGTCTTTCATTTGGTTCATGTTTTTTTATTTTCTTGTGTAGGTATATTGGGGGCTACGTTTACATTTGTGAACAAGTGTGACAAAACTGTGTGGCCTGGAATTTTGGGCACTCCAAAACTGGACAGTACTGGTTTCGAGCTTACCAAAGGCAGTTCTCGTTCATTTCAAGCACCGACCGGCTGGTCCGGTCGTTTTTGGGGCCGAACCGGCTGCAACTTCGACGACTCAGGAAGCGGTTCATGTGCCACAGCCGACTGCGGTTCCGGCCAAATGGAGTGTAACGGTGGAGGAGCCACACCTCCGGCGACACTAGCCGAATTCACACTCGGGTCGGGTTCGCAGGATTTCTATGATGTGAGCTTAGTGGACGGTTACAACTTACCCATGATGGTAGAAGTTAGTGGCGGGTCGGGTCCATGTGCCTCCACGGGTTGCAACGTGGACTTGAACCAAAAATGTCCGACGGAGCTGATGGTGGACGGCGGCGGCGCTTGTAGAAGCGCCTGTGATGCTTTCAGGACTCCACAATACTGTTGTGAAGGTGCTTATGCTTCGCCGGCGACGTGCTCGCCGTCGGTGTACTCGCAGATGTTCAAGTCGGCGTGTCCCAAATCCTATAGCTACGCGTACGACGATGCCACAAGTACATTCACATGTTCTAATGCCAATTACATCATCACATTTTGTCCCTCCTCTCTACCAAGGTAAATAAAATCAAGTTATAATCATCAATATTATAAAATATTCTATATCATTAATGCAATTTAACAAATATAATAGCAAAATTATAATTCAATTCAAGGTAATTAATCATGTTCAATATTGGAAATCAAATTAATATGGAGGTACGAAAATTTTATGTATTGCCAATGTATATTTTAATTAATGTCAAAAAGAAAAGAGCGTAGATACCATTTTACAATTAGTAGTAAAATTTAGAAGGTGTATAAAATTTTAATGCATTATGAAATACATTAATAGTTCAGGAAAAAAAATAATACTTGAACATGACCTTTACCGAGGTTTAAAAGATCTAATGAATTTTCTTCTTTTCTTGCAGCAAAAAATCTTCAAAATCAGACGGGTCGACGGATGGGTCAGGTAGTGAGTCAGGATCCGGGTCATTTCCAGGTACTGAATCAGGCACAGGGTCAGAGACTGGAGCAGGATCCGGGTCACTTCCAGGTTCTGAATCAGGCGCAGGGTCAGGGTCAATGGGTCAGGCAATGTTAGCGGATGGATCTTGGTTAGCAAGTTTGGCTACGGGGAGCTCGGCTAGTAATCAACCGTCAAGGGTTATTCAATTTATACCACTAATAGTGGCTTTTGTATTATTTATAGGTTCACTTTTGAAATTATAGAGTTTAACATTAAAATATTTCATTAAGTAGAGTAGATAAGATTGTTAAATTGAAAAGAAGAAGAAAAAAGGAATAAAGTACCAACGTACCAGCTTCTGTTAGGCTCACATTGTAAACGATTCCATCAATTCCAATTTTCACAAAGTTCATTCCGTTTTTTTTCTTTTTAATAATTATTACTCGTAAATACGCATGAAAATGACTGGATATTCCTTTCTCTGTGCTTAAGACCCAAACAAAAAGATGAGAACACATAAAAAAGAAAACAGAAAATAAGTTGAAAAGGATTGAGAAGGAAACAAGTCTGATTTTTAATGCGACAAGTGGGAAAGTTCTATTTTTGTATGGCACCGTACATTTCATATTTTTGTAATAATATAAGTGTGTGAGGGGTCATAAAAATTGCAACTTTTGGTAGTCTCTGTATTTTATCCACAAACCTAATGTAAAATACTACAGGCATAATAATCCTTTTCCACAAAGTCCAAAAAGAGAAAAGTAACTGTTCAATAGTTTTTGGTGTTCACTGTGTATATATATCTTTCCCAGAGGTCAAAATGTAACGTCCATTTCCTCTCTTATTGGTTCGTCAATATTATATCATTCATTGTGACATGATTGGAATTCCATTTACAACTTATAATCGGCAGGAAAATGCTTATTCGTTGGTGCTTTTTTTCTTCTTCAATTCAATATACTGAAATATAATCTGCTCTCTATATAATTAATAAAAAGAAAGCAAGTAAAGTAATCAAGTACGTAATTAACCAACTCTAGCGAAGGAATTTGTGGCTATAAGTTTATCGTGTATTATAATCGTCTAGACTCTAGTACACTCTATTCAATATATGTTAAGATAAGTGTTTTGTATTAAGATTTTAATTAATAAAAACGCTTTATAAACTTTCATCCAAAACGTAATTTACCAAACAAAAGATCTAGTGAAAAGAAATTCTATTTTACTCTTGATTAGTGATTACTCCACTCTAGGGGAATCTCTATGTTTTTTAGTGGGGAATATTTTTTTCATTTTCAGCTTTGAAGTTTTGCCTTCCTCGCTTTTCTTTTTACCTTTGTGCAATTTCCTACCAACGGCCAATTGAAAGGACAATATACTTGTGTTCATCATTCTTCCGTTGAAAGTATTTAACTAACATAATTATTATGAGTAGGGCAAAATAATTAGTGGACTTTGTCTTTACTTTCTCAACTATTTAGTACTGTTATCCTTCTTTGCGTGGCGGATAAACTTCGGGAGGGCATTGTTCTTTTTTTAATGTAATCAAAAGGGAATTTTTATCATGATAAGAAGATATTTTAGTTTTCAAAAACCTTTTTGACTGATCAAAACTCAAAAGAAAGACAATATATCGAACTGGTCGGTGAACTTTCGAAGATATTTCCATCTTTCACAATAACTATTTGTTAGATTTTTTTGTTGCTACAGGCTAGCAATTATTCTTCTTATATTGAAATTAAATTACATTAAAGGCAGCGAAAGATATTTTCATTTCCTCTCCAAGATTTTTCCCCTTTCCCAGATTTTTCCAAGCCTCAGAAAACAATTGGAGGAAGAAGAGAGGTCGGCCAATATGAATATTTCTTTCTGCTACAAGAAAATAGCAAATCAGATTTATCATATGTCAAATCTCTGGATATACTGGTTCTGCTATCTTCTTCCC